AAAAACAGAAAATCACACATTAAGAAGGAGAAACAAACTTATAGGCTGGCACGACCAAGAAATCTTGAAGCAGAAAAGGAAGAATCTCTATAGGAGGAGCGGCATGCCAAACAAGTGAAGACGAGATAAGCCCTAAATTGGCTAATTATCAGCAAGTGCATTCCTTTCTCGAAATGTATGAGAGTAATGGAATACCATGTGCTGCAATCGAAAAATACAGTTTTTCCAAAGAGTCTGGAGCCGCCAAGGAGGAGAAAAAGAACCATAAGCAAAGTAAGATATCATGCTAGAAAAGTCACTTTCAAGATATAAATTTTGCCAACCCCGCACATGAGCTAACTCCATAGCATGAAGCTTTGTATAGAAAGAAATACGAGGCCCCAAGCTCATGGAAAAACCACCAAGAAAATAACATGCAAAATCTGAGAAAACCCACCACAACTCATTTTTTTCGGAAAAGTGGGCGAAGTCCAATGACTTCTCTAAGATTGATCATGCTTGTTCCGCAAGACACAATAACCTAATCCATAAAGGAATTAATAGGTTTCCTATATTCTTGGAGTCCTTATTATCTAAGAATTGGCGTGCGCCACAAGTAATCATACTACTAAGAAGATGCAATATCTACTCCTAGATATCCTTTGTAATTCACACGGGTTAATACACGATTTCATCTCCTAAAAGGTACATATCTCGACTAGTCTAAATACATCCTTCAAGGATTCATATTTGGTAACGCAATTATCGCACATTTGTTCTCTTGCATGCTGTTTGAGTCACATAATATTACTTACTAACTTGACTGTTATAGAGTCTTTGATTGACATACCATTTGGTCCCTAGCTACTTATGGTTGTTTGTTCTTTTACAGATAAATGAATTTGTGCACCTTCCACCACATACGGTGGTGTGCAAATTTGGTTCCAACATCTTTGAAACTTGAGATTTTCATAAAAGTAATACACCCACGAAACCCAAAAGTTTTCATATTTAATTTAAACCAAAACATGTCTATAGAAGAATGTTCTATTTTTTACCATGAATGTTTTTACCCATAGTATTGACCATGACCTTACTCCTTCCAGCAACATGTCAAAGCTTAACAAACTTGACTTTACCCCTCTGAAAGTCTTTGGAAGAACTATTTGAAGTGGGTTCATGATGTAATGATCCACCTAACCACCAAAAATCTCAGAGCTACCATTGAAAAGGCTACGGATGAACATGTTGGCGAAGCTGACAAATCAACCGTCATGGTTTTCATTAGAAGACATATGCACAATGCATTACAGATCGGATACCTCACTCAAGAGGATCCGCTCACTCTCTGGATCATTGTGGCAGAACATTTCGATCACTAAAAGGATATCTTCTTTCCTGAAGAATATACGACTAATAACATTTACGCTTCCAAGACTTCTAGTCTTTGAATGAGTACAATTATGAAGTTTGTCGATTCCAATCACTCCTCAAATTCTAAAAAGATGACTTGACTAAAAGAATATGTTGGAGAAAACCTATTCAACTTTCTATGCCATCAATATTGTCCTGCAACAATAATATTAGGGATGTAAATTCACAATATTTTCTGATATGATCTATGTCTTACTACTTGGTGAAAACCAAACCCATTTTTTATGAAGAATCATGAAGATGTATTGGCTCAACACTGTGCCTGAAGCACATGGCAACACATCTCGAGGTGACAATTGACCCAAGAAGTGTCAAGGTCATGGCAAAAGGTCAAAGCACAAGCCGATCAAGCTTCTACTGATCTTGATATGTGTTACCGATGTAGTTCCAAAGAGCATTGGTCCTGTATTTGCCGAGCTTCTCGTCAAGCCATTGTTGACTATCATTCATGTAGTCAGAAGATTGAGACAAATTTTGCTCAAGTGGATAATCATGAAGATGGAGATTTCTAACTTTTAAGAGGCATTCGCTCCCATGGAAGATTAGATATTTTTAGACATAGGCCTATATTGGCCGATTTCCCCTTAGTGGCTGAACCCCCCTCTTTAATTTTTGGCTTGAATTTTGAACAATGTTCTTTGTTTTGGATTATTCGTTTGGTGTTTGTTTTAAAGTTTTGGATAATTCCTTTATGTATATTATTTCTCGAATAATTAATTGAATGAATGGGATTCAAAATTGTCCTTATACTTGTGACCGATTCAATTAAGTTACTTTCTAGTTATGTCTTGTGGAGAAATTAGTTGTCTGGCAAATAATTCAACCATGCACACCATCTTGTGTGAACACCATTATTTTAGTAACTTCATACCTGAAAATTCACCTTTGACAACCATTTCAGGCTTATCCAACCTGATTAAGGGGTATGGCACTGGTCGTATAACATTGTCCAGTGCTACTAATTTAACAATTAAAGAGGCCTTTTACTTACCTCGTTTTGGAAAAACACTGTTGCGCTTTAAAGAATATTCGAAAGAATAACTATCGTGTTGAAACCACCGAAGAATGTATCACTTCCAAGATCCAGAGCACTTTCTTGTTTTGGATCTATACTTCAGGACATCCAAGAAGAGATATTGTGGGACCATGATTTTTTGGAGTCGAAATGGCGGATTAGAATACAAATATCTCACAAACAATTCTCTTAAATATTTTTTAGGGATTGAGGTATTGAGAAGCAGTATTGGAATTTTTTTGTCTAAGAGGAAATATATTATTGATTTATTGCACGAAATTGGCATGTCAGCTTGTTAACTAGTAACTACACCATAAGAGTAAGGATTGAAGCTTATTGTTGATCTGTTATGCAATTAGCAACCTAATATTAAGCTATTAATTATTCATTTAAACTTGCAAGTGCACAAATCAAACACATAGTATAAAAAGCAAGTACACGATCATTCCCACAAGGATTGCACTAATAGATATCTAGATTATGAATCCTAAAAACTTAGATTTTTATTCATAAAACTAACAAATATGTACAAAATAGATTTAACGGAATAGATTGAAGATGATTTGAAATTGAAAATATAAAAATAGAAAAATAGAAAAATAGAAAAAGATAAATAATTAAAAGCAAGCTAGTTTGGAATAAGAATTAGAACAATGAGAAAACTAGTTAGGGTTTCAGTATCCACCGCTAATCACCTTCCTAAAGTAACGAAACACACAATATTATAAGACACATTGAGATGCTCATGTTTGTCGATGCTCTGTCTATGTAGCTTCATTGGGAAAGTTGTTGAGTCCATGACCGGATTTCTAGGGTATTCGTATACCGATCAGCCTTACTCAGGTCCTAGAAAATCATGGTCTCACAAAAGGCCCGAAATTCAAAACTACAAGTTCAGTTTAGATGAACTTTTAGTTCAAAGAAAGGTACCCACAAGAAGACAAGATACAATATACAACTAGTATAGTGAATTTGGGTTGCCTTGGTGACTTAGCATAAGTAGCTTCAAGACTACAAAAGGATATCAACGGTTCAAAGAATAATAAAATATTGATTCGTCATTTATTAAAAGTAGATTGCGGGTGAAAACAATATTTTTTTTAATTTCTGGAATGCGGTTCACTAAATTAATTTAGGGAGTTTTAACGAGAGTATTGTTCACTTTTAAAGAAAATGATATTTTTACTCTAAAAAGTCACTCCTAGTACTATTCACTTACAACACATTTTTGTCCTTTTGATTAAAACTCAAAGTTTTCAAACTATTTTCATTAGTTTTCCTATTAATTTAATAGGGTAGGCTCAAAAAGGTGTTTCTTGTAGAAGCAAGAAAATATAGTGGTTTAGACCATATCAGGGCTAGATGGCTGATGGCCAAACAAGTAGAAGGCCCAGAAGCTGGGTGCGGGTTGAAGCAAAAAGAAACCCAATATGGGGCTTGGATCGAGATAGGTAGCAGCCCAGCACGTATCTGGTGCAAGAAGCAACAATAGGAGCCCAACAACAGCACGGGGGGAAGAAAAAGGAAGCCCAGATATTGGGCTTGTGAGTCAACATGTAGCAGGCCCAAAGGATTGGGCTGCACACTAGGACGTCAAAACAACGTCGTATTGGGATGACTTCAGGCGTGGAGTGGCTCGGCTCAGCGCGGCTCAACGACTAGGATTTATAAAGAAAACCTATTTTGCTTCTAATTTCCTTTTCTTTTCTTTTTTTCCTTGTACTCACGTTAAGTCACCTTACTAATATCGAATAACATGATAAAACATAATATTGAATAGCAAAAGCAACTTAATAAAATATTATGTAGGCATGAACAATATGTACAATAGAGCAGTATAGGCAATACATAAAGCAAAAATAATTTTGGGTTTCATGTATCATGATGAAAACCTTTAAATGAAAACATTTAAACGTGGTAGAAGATGCTTCTCCAAAATCTTTCAGTTTTTTAGCACAACAACGGGAGTGTGCTTGTTAAGGCTTACGTTACTGAGGGAAAAAAGATGGAGAGGATCGGCAGCAAAGAGTGGAGAGAGTTTGAGAATTATGTAGTGTGATTTCTCACCCATTTGTACATTTATTTATAGTGATAACGAAGAAAGAATCTTGCTATCCAAGTGATACAAGTACAATGAGGAAACATCTAAAAGCTCTCCTAAAAATCCTACACTTAATCTATTACGATTTACACAATCACATTCATAATAAAATTAGTACTTTAACATTTTTAACATATTAATAGTTATTTTTAGAATTAATATTTTAAAATATTAAGAAAAAAAACACAAAAGTGACCAAGATTGCAAACTGTGTAAAACACAATAACCAAATTGGTTAAATTAAAAATAAATTGAACAAAGTAACTTTAGACCATAGCCACAATGATCAAAAAGATTTTTAACCAAAAATTTTACGCTTTCTACAAAAATAATATAAAAATGTATAAAAGAGCGAATTTACATGATGCTTTCTAACCGGAAATAATAATAATAATAATAATTGGCGGGAGATTCAAACGAAAATAACAAATTTTTGCGGCGCCAGCGCTCAAACAAAAGTCTCAACACAAAAACACAGCCAATAAAATGGCGTGGAATCAGATCAAGTACTCGATGCTGAACCTTCGAAGCTCTGATTTCTCTATCCGTGAAGAATCCATGGATTCCCAGGTACCGATTCTTCGTTTCCATGCTTGATGGTCCACCTTATTTTCCACACTACAATTATAATCTCAACAACTTTTCACTTCCAATGTGTTTTTTTCTTTGTGGGTTCACAGATTCTGAGCTCTCCACGCTCGCTCTCCATCGCTTCCGGTTTGTATTCATCTTTTGCAAATCTCTGAAACTGAAAGATTTTTTTTTTTTTTTGTTCATTTTTTTTTTAATTTCAATGTTTTTTGTCCAGAGCCTTCAGATCTGAAAAACTGGTTCCCCAGCTACCAATATGAATCACCTGCACTGAAGTCCAATTCTTTTCTCGATGATACCGTTGTCCCCGAAACTGAGATGGAAGAAAACTCAGGTGGGTTCGAGAGAAATGGAACAAAAAATGAAGCTTTTATTCCTAAGAACGAAACCCCAAATGGGGTTGTGAAATGTGGCAGCTTTTCTGGATATGAGCACGAAAGCCATTTGTTAAGTAAGGTACGCTTGTTTCTTGTCCCTTTTTGTTTAATGGGTTCTATTTCAAAGTGGAACACGATCAAAACTTTCAGTAGATATTTGTGGTTCTGAATTGGAATTCAAGATTGTAATGTGACACAATTTTCCGGTTGTAGATCCCAAGTTCTTTGGAATCAACTTCGTTCGTTTCAGGTTTGTATCACTTACCAAATTTCTTCCTTTTCTTCCGCCACATTAATTGAATTGTTTGGCTGCTAAGAAAATCCGAATAAGCAATGTATTCTTTGAAGCATATCGTATGGTTCCATTTGATTAATAAAAATGAAATGTGGCTTAATTTTGTTAACAAAAAATAGCAACGAAGTAATTGAACTGTTAACAAAAAATAGCAACGAAGTAATTGAAATGTTCTGTTTTTTGATCTGTTAGAGCCCACCGACATCAGACACTGGTACTCAAGCTATGCATATGAATCGCTATCGTTGGATACAATTGATGGTGTTGGAAATTCCATTTGCGAAGTGAGTAAACACGAGGAGGATGGCTTTTTGGTTGAAAACAACAGAGGAAAAGAAAAGGTTTCGGAGGATTTTAGTATAAACAGAAGTGATTCTGAAGAGGTTAGTGGGAGAGCTCCTAAGGAGGAAAGGCAGCCTGTAAGAGAGGTACTATTTCTGTATCTGTTCGTTTCCCTAGTATATTTTCGCTTTTCATTCTTCCAGTTGTGTTCAGCAAGCTAATAAGTAAATCCCTATACTCAACAAATATAAGATCATTCATCAATTATAGAAAACAAGGATGTATACTCCTTTTCAGGATGACATCTGAACGAGCACCGACGACCTGAATCCACTAAAACAAAGAAGTAGGAGAGCATTACAACAAAAAAACATATAGTTTTTTCGCGGACACAAATAGTCTTGTATCTTTTCCACCCCTTCTTCATAGAGAACCAAATGTACCCAAATACTCAAGCTTTTTGTAAGCGTCCACTATAATATCCTATGTACAATAAATAGGACTAGAGTTACAAAACTAACTCCAAGAAACCTCTACATTAAAGGCCTAAGAAAACCTTACAATCCCTACCTGGGAGAGAAATTAGTTTTTAACCTCGAATATGTTTCGAGATACATCAACCTTTATATCACATGTGCATTATGAATCCTTTACTCCATGTTCACTTTTAGCCACACCACAAAGAAAGTATTTTTGGTTTGTCTTGCGCTATGGATATCAAACCCGATGCATCATCCTTCTGTGGATGCACAACAGTCAGTTCCTCACTGCACAGAAACCTCGAACATCATCAAAGACCTCACACAGGGATCCGCCTAACCAAGTTGACCACTGAAAGTCTTCTCCTCTAAATTTAAATGGAGATCAATGAATTTCCCTAGCATCACTCGTCTTGTTCCGATTTCACCTGCCTTGGGGTTTGCACAAACTACATATTTTCAACTATTATCGTATTATGGCTGAAATTTTCTTCACACTTAATTATCTGACACAATTTTCTTCTTCTAGACTCCAGGTCCTTTAGAGCCGCCTTCGCAACTGTCAGGTTTTTGTCTCACTTATTTCCCGAAGTTAATATTTTTCCCCTTTGTTGAATTGTTTCGTTACTGATAAAATGTATGTAAGCATGGAATATTTGATGCGTATTCTCTGCTTGCATTATTCTCTTGGCAAATGTAAGATGTGGTAATTTATGTTAACAAGAAAACAAGAAAATGAAGCTATTAATCCGTTTTTTCTTCCTGTTATTTTAGAGCCTACTGACATCAGAAACTGGTTCTCAAGCTATGTGTACGAGTCTCCGTCCTATGATACAAATACAACTGATGGTTTTCGAGATCCTGTTTGGAAAGAAAACAAAAGTGGGAAGGATGGGTTTCTGGTTGATAATAGCCACAGAGAAAATGAAGAGGGCTTGGAGGGTTATAATGAAAAGGGAACTGATGGCGAAGCGGTTTCTGATTTACAGTCGGAAGGGCTTGCAAAATGCATCACCTCTTGGAGAGATAATAAGCAGAAAACACAGCCTGTAAGTGAGGTTCTCTTACTATCTCTCATTTTCCAGTTCTCGCATTTTAAACCTTTCCTGTTTTTGTTTTCTTTAGTTATAATAGTTGTTATTCGTACATGATTGAGTTAGATGAATTGTTTAAGCCATTGATTGCCCTAACGTCTGTAAATTACAGGGTCGCCCTAGCTATGGAGTAAGCGAAAACCTACTTAGTCAGAATGATTTGTGTCTCAAGCATATGCCTAAATCATGGAGAACCAAAGTCATCGCCCAAGCACAAGATGTCGAAATGTCAATCTTGAACAAGGAAAGTTGTCAATGCAAGCTATCGCCTAAGACTTTCAAGGGAACCAAAATTAAGCCATCGGACAACGAAAAAGGTCCATGCAGGAACTATGAGAAGTCTTCACAAGGCATGACTCCTAGCAAGGCCTTCACTTCACAGGAGAACTCAGAACCAGAATTCCACACAGAAGTTGATTGTATATCAACTGGAAGTGATTCGGATTTAATTCCAAGCAATGGAGTGTCAGAACGAAAACCAACTCATGGAAGCAGAGACAGAAAAGATGACGGAAATGAAATATCCGAAAATGGTTTTATAACAACTAGGAAAGGCAAACTTACAAGAAACAATCAGGAAAAGATTGTGGAACGACCGCAAGAGATTAGTAAAATGACAGCTCCAATAGTCGTGAAAAGAAAAGCCTTGGCAGATGCAACAAATATTCATCATTCTCCTGTGGCGGGGATTACAGGGAAATGGAAGTGTCCTCAGAAAAGTAAGCCAAATCGAGGACCCGCTTTGAAGCAGCTTCGACTTGAGAAATGGGTTCGTAAGTTGTGAAAGCTTAGCAATTGGGTGTTTCGACATTGAGTAGATTCCGGTGGAATGTAAATGATTCTGATGCCATGATTGATTAGGCTAATTGCTCATAAGTAGCTATCATTTGAAAGAGGATCATAACTAGTTATCGAATCGATGATTTACCAAATAAGAATGTAATGGATAGGAGAAGGAAATAACCTTGGCTACTTGCTTTATCTGGTTAATCATTGATTCGATAACATTTCAAGCCAACCAAAGCCTTATGTTTGGACTTTCGTCCGGTCATGTTGTACCAGATCATTGAAATGCCTCCAAAACTTCTAATCATGAGATATGAGGTTCTGTATATTGACAATTTGAAATCAACAAAGAGATTGGGAAACTCCAAATCTTCTTCTTCTACTTTCGCTTTTCCCTTTTCATCTGTACCTCCTATCTCTTAATTGTGAATGGTGAAAAAATAACGATGGATGTCGGGGTTGGGTTCGGTTTCAGTCGGTTCGGTTTTTTGTTAAAATAAAAACCGAACTTAAACTTCGGTTTTGTTTGGTTTGATTCAATTTTTTTTCGATTTTTTTCGGTTCGGTTTCGGTTTTTATTTTTTATTTTTTATTTTTTATTTTTATCTTATAAAAACTTGATCTTTTTTTTAATATGGAATTTAGAAAAGAGGTTTGCATTAGTAGACTAATAAAAAGAAAATGGGGAAAGTGGAAAGGTACTTGTACATATACAAGATCATATAAATCAATCGTATTCTATCAACAACGTATCCATTCAAAAAGCAAACAAATAGAAAAGCTCTTTCAAGTTTCAAAGCCTTCCAAAACTTTATTCTGTAACCAATGAAATATCTTCCCTAATTGAACCAAGTATGCTCTTTGAAAAAGTCCTAGGCTTAGTTTCAAACTTGTCAACAAAGTTTCACACAAAAAACATCATGGGCATAGATTCATAAAGTGTAAAGGAATTCGGTTTGGTTCGGTTTTCGAACCCCAAAACCGAAAATGAATCAATAAGGTTCGGTTTGGTTCGATTTTTTCTTTTTCGGTTCGGTTTTTTTGTTTGTTTTCAATTTGGTGTTTGGTCTTATTTTTTTCGATTTTCAGTTTTTTGAACCCACCCTAGATGATATTATGCAAATAGATGAACGATTAGCATGCAAGGATCTAGTTTGCATGCATTAGACATGCTTTAAGCATCAGTAAATTTGAATTTAGGGAAATTAACAATTTCCCAAAGGTTATATATATTTTTTCCTTTTTGTGTGTTCTATTTTTAATTTTTCATTATTTGTTCTTGGGTTGTTTTATTTACACTCCACGTTTTGTTGACTACACTTTATATGCTTAGTAGACCCTACATTTACTTTTTAGACTAAAATTTATCTGAATACACCACACATACTTTCCAATACTATCCTCACACCCCACACTTTCTACATATACCCCACACTATCCACTTAACATCCAAATCAAATCATGTGGTCATCTCAATTAGGGATTTTAGATTTTACATGTGTGTGTGTGTGTGCGTGTTTGTGTAACCATCTATGTGCGTGTTTGTGTAACCATCTATACTTACCTTATTTGGTAGTTGTTGGAGTTTTGTTCTACAATGGATGATAGGAGTGACTTTGAGAGCTTGAAGAAAAAAATATGAAAACAATTTTATTTTTTAAATTCAAATGTGGCCTAACTTGTGACGACCTGCCCTTAATTTTACGTTTTTATAAATTTTAAGAGCGTGATTTTACGAAAATGTCCTTAGAGGCGAGGGTATTAACTTTCATTGACCAACGTATAATGAGACGTATGAAATATTCTTTTGGCGTATTCCTGAAGTACTCGACGGTACGAACACAAAGGCACTATCGGAATCGAAATCGGAGTTTTGGTTAAAATTTTACAAAACATCGAATACCGAAGAGAAATTAATAAATTTCATAATTGATAGATATTTGTTTTTGTGACTTGTTTTAGGGAGCCATGTGTGTGGCTGGCGTGGAAACAAGATTAGAGGAAGGAGAAGGAATTGACCAATAGGATAAGAAAGAAAGGAGGGAAAGGAGGGAACAGAGAAGGAAGGAGAAGAAATCGGGTCACCTCTTTGACTCGTACACCTGCACTAACCCGTTACACCCAGAATGAATTTTGGCCACCTCCACCATTTTTCAGGCCAACTACACCTACCCATCACCTGCAACCTCTTCCATACCCTCTCCTTTATCATTTCCGCCCAAGATCGAAAGGTTTTAGGTCCCGATTTCGTGAGAACCGCACCGGTGGGTGCGAAGGGACTTTGACGGTGATCCACCATTTCTGAAGCATTTCTCTTCAATTACCACCACCAAAACACTTCTCAGGAGGTCAAGAACAATGTCCAATCAGTGGTTGGAGCGTCAGAGTTGATTTGAGAACGAATCAAGAACACCCAAATTCTAGGGTTCCGGCGAGTTCATGGCGATTTGAGGCTTTTTCGAACCAAATTGGACTTGGCCATAGGTATAAAAATTGCTCTACTTATTGAGATCTTCATTCCTGTGAAGTTTGAGAATTTTTAGAATTAGTTGAATTTTCTGGCGAGTTGGGGCGGCCGGCTGTCGTGTGTGGTGGTGCGTGGGCCAAGACCCCAACTGACCTTCCTAGGCTAAATTTGATACCCCAATTCCATATGTGAAGTTTGACTAATGAAATTTCATTGTTTGAACATAGTTTTGATAGAGACCGCCACTTGACCCTTATATGAATCGACGATCTGACCGTTGGATCATCACCAAACCTTAATATATTATAGTACGTAATATTTAAGGAAGTTAAGAACTAACAAATCAGGAATCTGATGTACAGATCTTCCCGAATTGGATTTGTTAGTTCATAAAATAAAACATCGATCGCCACTTAATTTTAGCAATTGGCGGAGATCCGACCGTCGGATCATTCCGAAACTTTAGGATGTTGTTCTAGAAGTATAATGTAGATCTTTAGAAATTACGGATTGGAAATCCGAGGAGCATATCTTCCGGATCGAGTTATGTAGGGTTGTGGCCCCTACCGTCGACCTTTGACCAACGATTGACTTTTGGTCAATAGGTTACCAATCATTCTAGAACGTCCTTGGGAATGTGTTTTATGTAAGTTACTTGTTCTATCGATAAGTATTCTAAGACGTGATTTGATAATTGTTCTAGACGATTGTTCGTGACGCCTTGATATTCGTGCTACGGAGTTGTAGCGCGGACTCCAGGTGAGTGGACATTTGTTTTCTATATATATATATACAGTTCCAGAAACGTTTTTATATGGAACTATGCTTTATTTTCCATGTCATAAATAATTACATTTAAATATTGCATTGTTACACTTGTGAATAGTATTATGTGATTGAATAGGTAGTATTGCGTTATTATAAATCATAATTTATATTGTTTGATGATGCAGAGGGTCAGGTAAGTTTCAGGTGAGTATATTGTGTTGGTATTGGTTGCATTGCACATTGTTATGCATGGATGCATTTAGAGCTCATCATTGCTGCATCACAGTGTTGGTGTTCTCGCCTGAGGCCAAGGCATAGTCCTTCACGTGATTGTTCACCTCCCGCACCACATGCTCGCCTTGGATCCAAGTTTGGTGTCAGCCCTGTCGTACAGACCACAATAGGTGGTTTCGACTCGTAGGTGACCCACGATTATTTGCACAGCCTTCACGTGATCGTAGCACTTGAGCATATTTACACTCAGCCTCGTGTGCTAGCATATATTGATGAGCTATAGGTCCAGTTGTACAAGTCACATTAGATGACTCCGACTGGCATATTACTTTATATTGATTTCACCTGGCTTACACCTTTTAACGCGGAAATGTTATGACATGGCATACTTGGTTTTTACTGTCTTTGTGCATTGTTTTACGTATATATGTAGTATTATTTTCTGGAAATCATATGGGTTTTACAGCGAGGGGTTATAACGTTTTCAAAAGGTTTTTATTAAAACTTTTTTTTCATGCCCACTCATCCTTGTTTTTTGCCCCTCCAGGTTTTAGTTGCTGAAAGTTTGTATTGACGAGGATTCTTGGCGAATCTCAGCATAGGTGGCTACCTCTGAGGGTATGATCCTTACTCACATTACTATTCTTAACTTTTGCTCTAACGTTGCGTGTGAAATGAGTTCATTCCTACTCATAGTGTACTCTTGTCTTTAGGCACTTTTAGGTTTAAATTTATTCACATTTTCCACATCACTATACTTTATGGCTTCGTCACCTTCTAGATGTCGGCCATCACATTTCGATTCGGAGTCCTAGTGGACATTCCGAGTCGGGATGTGTCATAACTAGTCATTTCATAATAGGATAAATAAGTCATTTAATAATAAATTTTTATGTGGGGTGTATTAAAAAATATGTGGAGTGTTAATAGAAAACTGAAGTTGATATTTTAAATTATTTGTTTAATACATTCGATATTACCTATATTAAATGGTGGATGAGTGAGTTAGGAGTAGCCATAATCATTTAGTTTGAATTCGCATTTGAGGAAAATCAAACATAAAATCCGTTACATACAAATAAAAAACAATATCAATAGACGGTAGTATTAATGATATATTTTAATATGGGTGTGCTTCTAATTATGCGTCTAGATTCGAATCTTTCTTACCATATTATAAATTTAACAAATAAAAAAGTTTCTCGTTAAAATTCAAACTCAGATGCAACTGACCAACACGTTGGATAAATTGTTGGTTTTAGTGGACAGGTGGCATGAGTTATTGGGTTGTGTCGTCTTGTCGACAGAATTTCTCCAAACATCTCCCTGATTTGCAGTTTAAAGCCTCTCTAGCTCCATCACTTGGCGGAAGAGCAGTTTGAGCTTTGAGCTTGAGCTTCTGAACGAAAAATGGCGGGCGGTTTAAGAGTCCTAACCAGGTCATTGAAACATTACAAACCCACAACCTCTATATTACCAGAGAATTCACTCTCTCTTCAATCCAATCAATGGATTCACCAAACTCGCCGGACTCTGATCTCCGTGTCGCTCCGTCACTCTCCGCCGACTATCCGACTCCGATTCCGGTAGTTTCCAGTTTCAAAATTCGTATGAACGAGTGGGCTATCTCTGTTTATGCCAATTTTCTATGACCCAGAAAGCGTTAACCGAATTGGGTTTTGGTTGTTTGGTAACAGGGATTGTTGAGGTTAGGTTGGAGAGGCCGGAGGTGAGGAATGCAATTGGGAGAGAGATGCTGAGAGGT